TTAAATTCGTAGTCGCCCGCTTCGAATTTTAGTGTAGCAAAAGCGTATTTAAACAGGAAATCAAGAACGTTCCCTAAAAAGACTGGAGCCACGTAGAATGTGACAGGATTTTCTGTTTTTGTTAATGGATGGAATCTCAACAATGAATGGTGAACAATTTAATTATACGTCTCCCCAGTCAGTGCGTCAGGATCACGTTGCACGAGGAAGCAGGGAAGTCGCATGGCTTTTAGTTACCATGCCCCTAGACTGCACATTAATTAGTAAGCACATAAAATGATTCTTGAGCACGAGAGAGGTATTCACTAATCACAAAACCAAACTTGATCCGACACTATAGAACACCATGAAACACTGTTAGGCCCACACTTCCAGAAAATGGCACGTACACCGTGGTCAAGATTTTACGATATAAGTTACTAGTGTAACAAAGACCGGACAAAATGCACTGGCAAAATTTAGGAGTAGAGTTGCTCAAACAACATCGAGGCATCGAGGCAAGCCACAAGATACTGTTCAACGGGAAGTATAAGACGAGATAGAAAACTACCGCTTACGTTTGTGTACAGGCTGGACCAAGCTCTTCCAACAGATCAGCCACAATGCCGGGATCGGGTATAGCGCTATCACCCAAGCCCGTTTGGAGGTATCCCGCTGGGTCCGCAGGTGTATCTAAACTGGCGGATTCACGAGCCAAATGACCACCATCACAACTGGGAAGTGTGATTTGTCTGGAGGTGGCCGCAGAGACTAATACGGTCAAGCTCGTCCCAGGACATAAGGCACGAGTCGGACTCAGCTCGACTATGTCGGGATGAAACAGGGCTGACAGGCTGATAGGCATTAGCGAACGCGGAAATTCTAGACAGAGGAGTGAAACAAAACAGAGATGATTGTAGTAAGATTTTCTGAGAAAGATAATTACACTTTGTTTGAATTCAATCGATCAGAAGTCAGGTCGCGTGTGCAACTCACCTCGCCGAAGACCACTGAGTAAACTTCGTAACGACTGGTCTGAGACACCAAAATGTTCCGAGTCATCCAGCATATGAGTGACTAGATAGTGTAGGATTTCGATACCGACGTCATGCAATACACCCTTAGAGCTAGTTGTCGAACGAGCCCCAGAAACAACCAGCGATGTTGGTTTATGAGCATCCGTGGCGGTATCGTCATGCCCAGTCGAACCAATCGATTCAGAAGATTCTGAAGGAGAATGAAGAGGTGCATGCTTATTACACAACCTAAGGTTAATTTTGAAGGAGGGATGGGCTTGGTAACATTTTTGTGAGCTGACATGCAGTGAGGTAAGGCGAAGTTCAAAGTAGCATAACGAATTATAAGCTTAAGAAAATTAAATGAGACGGGTTGAGGTATCGTGAAATGAAATAGCCAAACAAAAGTATCACAGAATGATGCGTTTCCCCCCTCCCAATTTGTCCCACTAATATTCTCTTATGTTGCACGAAAGTGTGATCTGCATTCTCTAACACACTGAACACGCGAGTTAGACGACTATCGACTGCCGCGAATATATTCAATAAAAAATGTGGTGAAATAAAAGCAACAGCAGTTGTGGCGCTTTTGAACCAACCACCAGATGATCATGGGGCTCAGTTCAGTTTTGACAACTATTAACCATGCACTTTATTGCACCGGTTTAGGTCG